TCTATTGTAATTATGTTGGGGTAGAGGGTGTCACACCTCCGACACCAAACTTTATTATAGATTAAAAGTATTAATAATTAATTGTCATTAAAAAAAACAATTTTACACTGTAAAATGTTTGAAAGATAAATTTTAAAACATTATAATAATTTAAAATTTACTTATCTTAAAAGTCACTTCAAACCTAGATAAATGTTGGACTAATCTCAGCTTAGGTTAGAAAAGTTTTAGCATGCAATTAATTGACCGAACAAACTAATATTTTGTTTACTAACAATGGATTGCCTTTAATAGTATTCATAAAAAAAAAAAAAGAAACTGATTTCTTCCTTGTATAATATCAATTAAGGTATTTTCCATATATTATATAATTAATTTTTGTAATATTATATTTATTAAATTTAACATGTATAATATATATTTATTAAATATATTAATTTTCATATCAATCTATATAAGTTTAAAAATATTATTAAATTAAAATATTCAAAAGACACAAATTAGTATCATATTTAATGTTATTAATATAATATTATATAAATATATGCATAACCAATTTTTCTTTGTATAATATTAATTAATTGATTGGTTAATTATAATGTAGCATTTAGAAAATAAAAATGATTTATTTTCTTCATTATATAGTGTAAATTTATTTATTTAATAAATATTATATATAACCAACTTTAGTAATACTATAAATATTATATTTATGGAATTTAATACGGTATCTATCAATATATAAAATAAAGTGATTTCTTCTTTATGCAGTATTAATTAATTAATTTATTAAATATTATGAATAATTAACATTAATAATTATAAAAATTTAATTATTAAATATCAATCTATAGAAAATTACACAAAAGTAAAAAATAAAATAAAATAAAATATTTAATGTTAGTAATAAAGTATTTATAAATCTACGAACTGACTAACTTTTCCTTATATAAAATTAATTTAATTAGTTAATAAATATTATATATAATTAAATTTGGTAATTCTTGTATACTTTTGATATCAATTGATTTTTATATTTATTATAGCAGAAAATGATTTTTTTCTTTTTGATCTTTTAGAAATTTAGGAGGAAAAACAATGCATTTGAATAAAAAATAAAGAAAATTTGTCAATAAATCCTTGTACTTATCTATAATGTTAGTAAATAAATTTTGTCTGTCCACCTAATATTTTTTGGGTTCAATTTTTATCTATATTAAAATATTATTTAACTGACAGAAGTCATATTCCACAAATATAAATTAATATTTAATTATAAATTTTAGGATACTATATGAACTATATCTATAAAAGAAAATATTAGTATTACATGAAAAACCTATTAAAAATTAAACTCAAATGGTGTGTGGAATATGTTATGGCCGATCCATGATCCACCCATAAGTTTTTTTTATCACAATACTAGTATGTCATTAATTCTTTAGGATGTCCTTTAGTAGTGGCTTACCATTTTTTTTTCTTCTTTTGATTTTATAACATAAATATATAATATATAATCTCACATCCCCTCTTGACCATGTTGCATGATTTAATCATCGAATCGAAATCCCTGCCATATAAAACGTGTCTAATGGAAGACACTTAAAAAATTCATTTACTATTTCAGTGGACTATCGCAATTAATTGAGTCAACCATTTACAAGAGCAAATCGATGAGATTGCTTCATTAATTTTTGTCAATAAATAATATCAGCACCAACCAATGAGCTAGTGTCACGTCAGTTTGAAGTTTCCTTAATAAAATAAAATAAGAGAAATTTTATGGTACCCATCTTATTTGAGTGGTACTGATACAGTTTTTTATATTTTATATTTTTAATAATTTATTTAAATAATATTTATGATATTTTATTCTTTTAAATTTTAAATTATTTAGTTATTTTATTTTTATTTTATATATTCTAATTTATTTGTAATAATATTATTATATATTTAAATAATTTAATTTTAATAATTTTTTAAGTATATTTTTATCTTTTCACTTAAAATTTTTGAATTTCTATATTTTAATTTTAATAATTTTT